CCGCCGCGCCAGAGGCCGCGCACGGTGGGGCCCAGGCCGCCGAGCCCGAGCGCCTCCGTCGAGATCTGCATCTGCGCCGACAAGTCGTTCTTGGGGAAAGCCCAGATCCGATGGTCCGCCATCGTGCGCCTCGCTGTCAGGACCGCGAGGCAGTCGCGCAGGTGGCCCGCGCCGCCCAGTGCCGCGCTCTCTTCGTAGGCGACGACCTTCGCGGGCGAGCCGAGCTCGCCTGGCCCCAGCAGCAGCGCCCGCGCCCGCTCGCCAAAGCCGGCGCCCGCCACTGGCGGAACCAGCATGCGCCCCCGTCAGGCCGTCGACATCCCCCAGCCCCAGGCAGGCGCAGAAGGCGAGCGGCAGCGCCTCGTGATCCACCGGCCCCTTCGAGAGCACGCGCAGCACCGGGGCGGCGCTGGCCTGCAGCCTGGGGTCGGGGGGGGCGCGCTGCCCCGGGCGCGACCTTGCCTCGCGGGCCGCGGCCCGCGAGCGCCCCGGCCGCGCGTGGTGGACTTTCTGCGCCGTAGCGCCCGAACTCCAGGTAGCAAGACTTCGCCGCGGCCAGGGTCTTGCCGGCTGCGTCGGCCGAGCGCCCCGAGCAGAACGGCCCAGCCGGTCCTTGAATATCGCCACGGCCGATCGAGGCCGCCCGCCGTCGTCGCCCAGCTCGACCCGGCCTCCTCCGCCCAGCCCAAGAAAGAGCCGTCGCTCGCCTCTGGGCCGCCGACCGCGGCCCCAGGAATGGGGGCGAGCGCGGGCCCGGGAGGGGCGCCGACTCGGGCGATGGCGTCTGGCGCAGCGCCCGCCGGGCGGCCGCCGCCGCGGCAGAGGCGATCCCCGCCGTGGCCCTCCTTCTTTTTTTTTTTTTTGGCCACGACGGCCTGACCTGTTTGACAAGCGGCTGCCTGGGCAGCCACCTCTGAACCTAACGCCAGAAGAGGGACCAGCAAGCGACCACGAACTCATTTCCCAAGAGGGAGGACGTCCCTTGGCCACGCGCCAGTCCCCCAGGCATTAGTCTGACCCCGACTCCGAGCCCACAGGGCGGTTCGGAATCAGAGGAGCAACATCCTCCTCGCTACGCAGCAAGTCGGACACATCCCTCATCTCCGCACGGGGGTCAGACACAGCGGAGGTGTCTTGTACGGGAGCCTCTGTCGTTGCACCAGGCTCCCTGACCTCCAACAAAACTCGGGCTTCGGCTTCCTCAGCCTCGAACAAATCATCAAAACTTCATCTCCAGGTGCAGGTCTCTGCACTCCGAGAGCTTCTTGTTGCCCTTCCCGCCCACCGCTCCCACAGTCCACCCGCACCCCCGTTTCTCTCTCAGCAATCCTAGCCCTCAGAGGGGCCAAACAAGCCAAGTGAGACGAGCACGGAGGTATGAGATGCACCCGCGAAGCGGTCGCAAAGGCACGCACAGCCGCTCCTGACGCAGGACGTTCAGGAGCCGCACAAGAAACTGCAACATTACGCTGAGGATGAAGGCCACGCTTGAGCCTACTCAGCACACTGGCACCCGCACTGTGTTCCCTAGGATCACACTTCCCTGCCAGATTACGAACTTTTTCTTGCGAGTAGCTACCACAGAGCATACAGAACACTAGGGGCAGCTTCTCATCACCTACTTGCGTACTAGCTAACTTGTGGCCGTGGGCGGGGGCCTCGGAGAGCAACTTGGTGAGGCTCCTCGAGAGTCCCTTACACCCCACCTCTGGCCTATCTTGGAGGTGTCCCCCATAAAAACTTAAACACTTGGCACACCTGTGGCCCCACGACCAGGGCTCCCAGTCATGCCAGCTCGTGGCGCACGCAATGACCTTGCGCTGGCGCTCACGTCGAGGTGGGCGCTGGTGGTGCACCCTCGGAAAACACGGCCAAACGTTCGCCACAAGGCGGGCAACCGTTTCGAAAACTCTCGATCGAGCTATCTAACTGCCGCCAGTCGGCGGGCGCGGGTCTGGGATGCAGGTCAAGAGCTCCTTTCGCTTCCCGATCCACTCGCCAGTTGGCCTGGCCAATCCACCGCTCTGGCGGGGGCAGCTGCTCGATGTCCTCTAACTTCCTATGGGCAGGGGTGTGAACAGCTGGGGCATACTCTTGATTCCTCATGTGGAGCAGGGCCCCCCTTCTCAACCCTCCATAACGTTGCTTGGCCGACACTTGACATGACGGTTCCATGTTATGCAGTTTGACGGCATTCATACAGTCGCTGTATAACGTCGGCCCATGATTTGGTACATATATTGGTAACAAGGCGAGCTGGAGTTGTTCTGCCGCTTGACTGGTTTGGGGTAGACTCGGCCACACAACTCCTTTTGCTACATACCGCTGCACACCCTCCGCATCAAAGAACACCCACGAGTAAGCCGCCCTCGAGAGCTCTCTGATGGTGTGCCGAGCGCAAGACCCATCTCCAGCTTGGAAGAAGGAGGACCCATCAAACTGATCCCACTCCACTTTTTGCCCACTCAGATCGAAAAGCTCTGGCTCGTGCACATCCGAG